ATATTTTTTTCATGAAAGTTAACGAATTGGCCCCTGCAATGTTCAGAACAAATAGAAAACATTCTCAGCGGTGCACCACCTTGGACGCTGAAGTCGGTAAGTAGGGGCGGCCATTCTTCAGTCATCGCGTGTGAAACAACTCATATTAGAAAAACATACATTACTCTTTTTTTGTAATAAATTGGCACATTGGCGCCTATGATCTGCAGTTGAAATCCTAACGTAAGTATGATTCAATTGAATGGAAACTTTTAATTAAATCAGAAAAAGTATTCTTAAGTTATTGGAAAGAAACTACTGCGATGTTGGCCATGTACAATGTTGGAACCCAAATATTCCACTAACATTGCAAACTTTCAACTAAACACGATACATTAACACTGAAATGATGGTAAACAAAAACAGAAAGCAAACTCTTATGGCATAGTTATTTAAAACATTTTGGTTCTTTGACCTTGATGGGGTAATTAGAGCATGAGTGCATATATATATATATATATATATATATATATATATATATATATATATATATATATATATATATATATATATATATATATATATATATATATATATATATATATATATAATATATATATATATATATATATAATATATATATATATATATATATATATATATATATATATATATATATATATATATATATATATATATATATATAGATGGGTCACCTCTGCTGTAATTGTGACCCGCAGCTCAAGAGTGAAAAAAGGCTTCAAAAAAGTATTGTTTTTCTGAAGCGTTGAATATTCACTATGCCCTACACCCACTTTCATTTATTATTACAATAGTATATTTATATTAATAATATGGTAAAAGTTTAAGAATACATTTTGATAAAAAATGGTATATAATAATAAATAGTGAGGATCCACTCCTTTTTAGGTGTCAATATTTGGAACCACCAGCCTCGAAGAAGTGGATAAAAAGAGGCTTCAAAGATAAGTATTTGAATTTCTTTCCTGAGCCCGTTGGAATATTCCACTTCCCCTACCACCCCAGCTTTTCATTCTTTTTTACCAATAGGTATATTTTATTACATAATATGGTACAAAGGGTTTAAGAGATACATTGTTGATAAAAAGATGGTATATACAATACATGAAATGTGAGAGATACATGTCTAGCACATATTGTTACGTGCTTGTCATTGATTATATTGCGTAAATCTCATCCAGCTCTTCAGAACTGGGGCGCGTGCCTAACATACAGCAGGCATTACCCCTCTGAACAGCAGCGCTGAGTTGCCCTGATGAGTCTTTTGCCTAGCTCCTTAAGGAACTTAGATGCACTCTTTCCCCATGAGCCAAAGGTATCCGAGCCTGTGGGAACAAACATATAATGATGGGAAAGTTCTCCATATTTTCTAGACTTTTGGGACTCCCTGAAGCTGGCGGCTGCCCCTCCTTCCTTCCTGGTATATTGGAGATAGGTATCAGCCAAGGTAGATGCACATGTGTAGTCCCACACCACCTGCTCACCGTCTGTCCAGGCTTAAAGTGTGATACCATCTGGACGTTTCTGGCTGCCATCAGATCTGCATAGTTGGGGTGGCTCCCTTACTGCTGGGCATCCGGCTGTTGTGAGGCTCCTCTTGATAATGTTATTAACCTCCTCATGTCTTGCAATCTTTCCCTCGGATTTACGGCACACAAGACCATGGTGCCCGAATCGGTCTGCTGCTTCACTGCCACAATTACACCTTTGTTCGGCGAGAATAGGGGCGGCAAGTCGAAGGGCAACACCAATGCGGATGGTCTGTTGGTCGATCCGTGTGCCAAGGCTGGAGTTGGGAACAGCCAACAAAAAGTGCCCTGCATGAGGAGCTCTCACTGCCAGGAGGCGGGTTCTATCCTTCCCTGACACACTCTGAAGCACTGTTGAGACTATTTTCTCCACTATTGGACCATTCCAGTGCGACTGTTTGTAGTTGTTGAGGGGAGCAGGTCTGGTTTGAGAGCCCGGTAGATTATCCCAGATCATGGCTCCGTCAATGAACTTTTGGTCCTGGACTCCAATCTTATACCTAAGATGTTCAGGGAGAATCGCTGCTATAAACCCTCTGGATGCAATACATGAGGACAGAAAAGCAGGTAGTGCAATCTGTGATGACATGCGGACACCAGTGCCTCCTAGTCTGACTGGAAGTGTAGCCTGGTTCCACTGCCCGTCTTCTAGAGTAAGGTTAAGTACTTTCGTAAAAATCTGCCTCAGGATACTGTTATATTCGTGCAGTATAGGGTTATCATATGAAGGTGCACATCTTAGGAAATATGTCAACCTGGGCAGACTCAAGCACTTTGTGAGAAGGTACAAGGCATCGTGGGTGTCAAGATTGCCCATTCGTTGTTCCATTCTCCTCAATTGTTCCAATTTCTTCCTGAGGATTGTGTCAATGGCATCGCTTCCCAGAGGTGCTCCAAGCAAGATGCTATTTGTGGGGGCAATGACTGATGCTGTTGGTAGTTTGGATCTCACTGCATTTATCACTTGTTGACTGACTGAGATGATTTCACATTTGGATGGATTCAGAATGAGACCCATTTCCTGTCCCCGTGTCATCACTTGTGTAAGATCACCTAAGAGGGACTCCTCTGTACCTGCTAGTGTGCCATCATCAGGAACCAGATGACTTGGTCAGTCGACTGGTGCAATGAGGATCCCCTTGCTGGACACCCTCTGATGATGTAATTTCATGCTCTCCAAACAGGAGCATTGATTCCTTGCTATATCCAGCTGAAACAAAGGGTAAGAGACCAGGGAAATACTCTTGTACCGATGCTAATACCATATCACTTTTCAGGAGATTAAATGCATTCTTGAAGTCTAATTTTACCACTGCATTGTCATCAGGCAGGTTGTTGATATACGCCCTTGTTGCATGAACTGCTGCTTCACTTCCTTGAGAGACCCCAAAGCCAAGCTGGTTTGGTTGAAGCAGCATGGCTGCCTCTGCGCGAATGTCTCGGACAGCATCGTAGGAAACGAGGCGGCGAAAAGTGTTGCCCACTGCAATAGGCCTAATTCATCCGTCCTTCTTTTTAAGTGCACAAAGTGATGCACCAAAAACGAAAGGTTTAGTTTCATCAGGAATCAGACCAGCCAAGGAATTGTTGACGAACCTTGTGATCTCTGAAAGCAGTGTCTCTGCAATTTCCCCAATAACTGGATTAACTATTTCCTTTAAATGCTGTGGCCTTATTCCAGTGTAACCCCAGCAGAGCCAGATGGGAATGACATTATTGCTTTGTAAACGTCCCAGTCTTCCACGATCAATGGTTCCACAGTGGGGACAGAGGTGCTGGAACTGTTGGTGCCATTGGTTTCCTTGGCAGGGTGCTTTCCTCTAAGTGCTTTCGCCGTGTCAGCATCCCTGGGGGCAACTGTATCTTCATTGGTAATAATTCTGATTGCCCCCAGTGTGTTGCCCTCTTCAATTTTCTTGCTCACCTGCACTCTGACTTTTTCACTGTCGGTGGAGTGATTGGGGGTTTTGCCTCTCCCGTTTTTGTATTGACCGGAAAGGCGAATGAGGTTATCAGTTCTAGGAAAGTCTCTTAAAGATTTAATGATCATTGAGGCTAGCCTCTTTTCCCTTCTTTCCGGCACAGCTAAGCAGACATTGCCAAAAAGTAGCAAGTTGTGCCATGCCTTGATGGTTGGTGGAGCATTTAAGATAGTGGAGCCATCGTTTACTTTTTTTTAAGAGGTCTGTAAGTTTCCCAGCTGCGTGTGGATGGGCTGCCTTGGGAATATGTGTGTGTCCTGGTACCTGTTGCTATAATTGCTTCCAAGATATCATCTGATGAGATGAGATTTGCTGGAGTGGGTACAGGTGCCTGAGGAGGATCTGGATCATCACTCTCCACAGGAGGACTTCATGAACCAGGGCAGCTACCGTGTTTGCGGAGGAAACCGTTAGAGTTGAGACAATGAAGCTGTAAGCACGACCGATACTTGCCTCTCCTAGTATTGCCAGCCGTGCCATTTCCCTGGCTGCTCGCCAGGACTCGAACCTGCTAAACTCTGTATCAGAGATCCACAGTACTTTACCACGAAACTAGACCTGCAATAAGTATGGGCGCTTACCCGAAACTAAGCGATGTTTCCTATACCCTCAGGCATTTCAAATCTCTTTCGTTGTCCACTGCGTGTGGAAGGATTAGATGAAATAACTTTCAAAACGAGCTTGGTGCCTGGGGGTATGGGAAACATCGCTTAGCTTCTGCTAAGCGCCGATGCTTATCGCAGGTCTAGTCTCGTGGTAAAGTACTGTGGACTCTGATACAGAGTTAGCAGGTTCAAGTCCTGCTTTAGACGTAGAGACAATGTTTGTAAATAATTTCGTCTGTTTGCGAATTGTTAAGCATATATATATGTCGTGCCGAATATGTAAAACTTGCGATCTTGGCTTAAATATCAACGCTCATCTTGCCATATAAGACAAACGAAAATTTGTGTATGCAATAATTTTGCAAAAGTCATTCTGAACCTAACAAAAAAAAATATTTCATTGTGTTTGTTTAGTATTAAATTATTGTAAATCGTATCTAAAATATGTTTAATTGAATTAGGGTAAAATAAATTGCGCTTGTTATAATAAGGTTAGGTAAGTTTTCTAAGAGTCTTTTGGTGCCAAATTATAAATTTTTAAATAAGTTCTTGCTAATTGAGCAGCTTTACCTATTAGGCATGACATATATATATTATATATATATATATATATATATATATATATATATTTTATATATATATATATATATATATATATATATATATATATATATATATATATATATATATATATATATATAAATATATATATATGTAAAAACACTCAAAAAAGAGATGTGTTAAGAAACCCCGAAAGGTTACCTTTCAGAAAGTGTATGAATATTTTTCATTCAAGTTTTCTATTTTATTTCGCTCATAACTCGAGAGCACCTTGTCCAGTCGGCTTCAAATTTTGAACACTTATGTGCGGTAACGATGATCAAATTCTTGGAACATTTGGCAAGTTAAGCTGCCCTATGGCCAACGCTGATGAACTGTTACCAGCGTTCTGGAATGGCTAGTATAACTTCCAAAACCCTCAGTGGCATAGGTTAGTGACCATTAAGTTTCGTTTATGTGCAGACGAATTTGTTAATGAAGTAAAATAGTAGAATTGTAGAAATTCGTTTTAACTAAATGGAGAATGACTTACCTGATCGGCTTCAAATTTTCACCACTGGTGTGATTTCCTGAACTCAAAATTCACGCTACCTTTGCGTAGCATAAGTTTTAAGTTGCCAGTTTTACTGAATAGTGATTTTTCTTATTCAGTAAGTAAAGAATGCCTCTGATCGGTTCAAAATAATGTTAGAAGGAATTTTACAAGATGATATCTCAAACGTTTAGTTCGAGTATATATAAATTTGTAATTTTGCTAAAATTGTTAGGAAAATGGAAATCGTTGGTATCAGATCAGTTATTGGACAATATCTATTGTGATCGGCTTCAAACTTTTACCACTAAATAGATATTAATTTGTAAATATTAATTTGTCAATTTTATGAAGAAAGTTGTTTCCATTATAATAGCTAAACAACGTCTCTCCTGGAGTTTACCTGGAGTTTACCTGGAGAGAGTTTCGGGGGTCAACGCCCCCGCGGCCCGGTCTGTGACCAGGCCTCCTGGTGGATCAGCGCCTGATCAACCAGGCTTTGCTGCTGGCTGCACGCAAACCAACGTACGAGCCACAGCCCGGCTGATCAGGAACTGACTTTAGGTGCTTGTCCAGTGCCAGCTTGAAGACTGCCAGGGGTCTGTTGGTAATCCCCCTTATGTGTGCTGGGAGGCAGTTGAACAGTCTCGGGCCCCTGACACTTATTGTATGGTCTCTTAACGTGCTAGTGACACCCCTGCTTTTCATTGGGGGGATGGTGCATCGTCTGCCAAGTCTTTTGCTTTCGTAGTGAGTGATTTTCGTGTGCAAGTTCGGTACTAGTCCCTCTAGGATTTTCCAGGTGTATATAATCATGTATCTCTCCCTCCTGCGTTCCAGGGAATACAGGTTTAGAAACCTCAAGCGCTCCCAGTAATTGAGGTGTTTTATCTCCGTTATGCGCGCCGTGAAAGTTCTCTGTACATTTTCTAGGTCGGCAATTTCACCTGCCTTGAAAGGTTCTGTTAGAGTGCAGCAATATTCCAGCCTAGATAGAACAAGTGACCTGAAGAGTGTCATCATGGGCTTGGCCTCCCTAGTTTTGAAGGTTCTCATTATCCATCCTGTCATTTTTCTAGCAGATGCGATTGATACAATGTTATGGTCCTTGAAGGTGAGATCAGCTTTAATTTATAAATACTAGTGTATCCTAACATCAAGTATTTTTTGTATTAATTTTGGATGTGACGGTCCCGAGTTACCATTTTTTTTATCCCAAAAAATCTAAATCTAATATTTTTTCCTTACAGGATTGTAAACAGTTAGTTTAAATAGTAAATGAGAAAAAAAATCCTTGGTTTTATGTTGTTTAAAGTTTAATGAGGGAAGACTTCCACATTTCTTGAAACATTCTCAGCATCGCATTCGTGCTTTTTTTTTTTTTTTTTTTTTTTTTTTTTTTTTTGCTCGCGAATTCTCGTCTATTACTCGAGAACACCTTATTTAGTCTGCTTCACATTTTCTAGACTTGCGTAATGTATCTTGGGGAACATTTAGTGGGTTATCTGCATGAGTGGGAGCCCTGTACAAAATACTGCAGAGGTCATCCATAAATTTTACTTCCGTGTGGTAAGTGGAAACAGGCTCCTCTGATCGGTTTCAAAATTTCAAGTCATGTAGCCTACTTAGAAGCTTATAAGAAGGTCGATATATTTATTGGAGTGTGCAGATGCTATTTTGCCACTTTAATCTCGAAATAATATTGTATTATTTTACGTTATTACATGATTTTTCCCTTTGATGCTAGGACGAGGCTCTTGATCCAAGGAATTGGATTTATCTTCCTCTTGCTTTGAACGATTCCTTTTCCACAGGCGCTTTCCTCTGATTGAAATATAAGAATTCTGATCTGAATCAATATTCAGTGGTAGATGCATCTGATGAAGCAGAGGGAACGTTTTATGGGTTTAGGCTGATGTAGGCACAAATTTTGTTGGATTTTGTACAATTACAAGAAAATGCTTCTTATGGCCATCTTTAAACATTTAGTGATTATGTGTTTCCCTCAAAAAAAAACAATCTCTCGATGTTAGGTTGTGTAAATTATCATGCGCCGTTCAACTCACGGCGACTCCCTCAGAGCTGAAGTGTGTTAGAGGAGCAAAATATAACAGCATTGAAAATGTCATTATTATATGCAGCAGATGACTCGGAAATAAATAGAGATCCAATGGAAAAAGTACATGTAACCAGAACATTACCTCGCACAGCCTCCAGCCCTAGTACTGATTCAGCTACAAACTCTAATATACATTCTGCCACAGACTCTACCGTAGCCACCATTACAGATTTAGTAGCGCAGGAATCTGCTTCTGAGGACAGTGTTGGTTCAGTTCTAGTAATAACTGGTGGTGGTGATTCATGTACGGTTGCTAGGGCAGTTCTAGAAACTACACCATTTGAGAACCCAGCCCCTACAAATTCTGATAGGAAATAAGCCACAGAGTTTGCCTTTATTTGGTTATCCTCTAGGTTAAATAATTTTGTTGTTTTATATGTGACTATAACACTTGAATCTCCTCAAGACCATTGCTAGAAATTTGTTTGTTATGTTCACTAGGCTTGAGGAAAATTAAATTTACTTGGATGTAGCTCATAAGGTACATACCAGTAAATTGTAACAAAGATAATTATTATTTATCAAAGTTACATAGACAAGTAGAAATTTTGGGACACCTAGGTCTCAAAAAATGTCCCCCTTCGATACCTACAACTGTCATATCTACAAGTTGCTCTAGACCTATATTAATTGCAAATGAAATATACATCACCAGGAATTCTGGGGAAATTTAATATAAACATGTGGACTGTACATTAAAATTAATAAATTATTACATATACACATTTATATAACAGAAGGAGAATTTATAATCATAACACTCACCAATTTGTCTGGAGATTACTGTGTATCATACTCAAAACCCCTGCCTAAAGTTTATGAAGAAAACACCGGCCAGAAAGACATAAAGACATACTTGCTGGGGTTCTGAGGCTGTCCTGCCCATCTGCTTAATACTCACGTTATGCAGGACTGCACATCCAACAATTTCGGCTCCTATTTGAGAGGTTTTAAGTCCAATATAACCCCTAGAGCCACGAAAATTATGCACATTACATTAGCGTGTTTGTATCACATTAAAAAACAACGGCGTCTCCTCCTGCTCCTCAGCGCAGGCTTCCCTCGCTGGTTTCATTTATAAATTAATTTTTATTAAATACGATGTATTACACTAATTTTCATAAAAAATACGCTGGATTTTTCGGAAAATACATTATTTTCCACAAGGCTTTCCCAAAACTTATTTACTTAATTCATTGCACTTATTTTCTTTACAAAAATGGTCAGTCTTTCTTAGAGGAACGGTCGGAAAGATTTTGGCTTATATAAGTTCCAAAGTTCTTTTTAAGAAGAAATTAGAAAAACTGAAATACCGCTTTTCATGAGATAATTTCTGAGTGTTGCTTCTGATTAACGTCAATTCTTCCATGCTGAAAATTTGGTAATGCAACTTCTGAGCACCTTCAAACTTAATATGTTTGTGTATTTTAGGATATTGGTCTCTTTGAACTTTTGAAAGGTCTGAACAAGATATGGGCTGCGTATAAGCAATTTTACCATTGCCATTGAAGGAATTTCAATATTAGTGAATTTCTTGTGAATTCCTCTTCTGATTACCTTCAAAGCTTCAGTTCTATACTGAACTGCATCATTCATTTATGCCGCACTCTCCACAATTTTAGCTGCCTGTTGATGCACAGGGGACTGGGATTATGAGATATGGGGATGCCACACACACACACACCACAAACAGGTGAACACACACACACACACACAGGAGGCCAAGAGAGGAATATGAAGAGAGCAACAGAGCAATAGCGGGCACACTTGCTGAGGTGGCAAGAAGAGCTCACTCGAGCAGAGCAAAGTTGCTGGTTATGGGTGATTTCAACCACAGGGAGATTGACTGGGAAAACCTGGAGCCACATGAGAATCCCGAAACATGGAGAGCCAAGATGTTGGATGTGGTGCTGGAAAATCTCATGCACCAACATGTTAAGGACACTACCAGAGTGAGAGAGGAGGACGAACCAGAAAGATTGGACCTTGTGTACACCCTGGTCAGTTCAGACATTGAGGACATCACATATGACAGCCCCCTAGGAGCTAGTGACCACGTGGTTCTGTGCTTTGAATACATAGTAGAGTTGCAAGTGGAGAGAGTAACAGGAGTTGAATGGGAAAAGCCAGACTATAAAAGAAGGGACTACATAGGTTTGAGGAATTTCCTGCAGGAGGTTCTGTGGGACAGAGAACTGTTAGGAAAGCCAGTAAATGAAATGATGGAATATGTAACAACAAAATGCAAGGAGCCAGTGGAAAGGTTTATTCCCAAGGGCAACAGAAACAATGGGAAGACCAGAACGAGCCCCTGGTTTACCCGAAGGTGTAAGGAGGCAAAAACTGAGTGCAACAGAGAATGGAAAAAGTACAGAAGGCATAGAACACATGAAAATAGGGAGATTAGTCACAGAGCCAGAAACGAGTATGCACAGGTAAGGAGGGAGGCCCAGCGACAGTATGAAAATAACATAGCATCGAAAGTCGAGACTGACCCGAAACTGTTGTATAGCCACATCAGGAGGAAGACAACATTCAAAGACCAGGTGATCAGACTGAGGACAGAAGGTGGAGAACTCACAAGAAATGATCAAGAGGTATGTGAGGAGCTAAACAGGAGATTTAAGGAAGTTTTTACAGTAGAGACAGGAAGGGCTCTGGGAAGACAGCACAGAAGGGAACATCAACAGGGAATATACCAACAAGTGTTGGATGACATACGAACAACCGAGGAGGAGGTGCAGAAGCTGCAAAGTGACCTTGATACCTCAAAGGCGATGGGACCGGACAACATCTCCCCATGGGTCCTTAGAGAAGGAGCAGAGATGCTGTGTGTGCTCCTAACCACAATCTTCAACACATCCCTTGAAACTGGGCAACTACCTGAGATATGGAAGACGGCAAATGTAGTCCCCATATTTAAGAAAGGAGACAGAAACGAGGCACTAAACTACAGACCTGTGTCTCTGACGTGTATAGTATGCAAAGTCACGGAGAAGATTATCAGGAGGAGAGTGGTGGAACACCTGGAACGGAACAAGATTATAAATGAAAACCAGCTTGGATTCATGGAAGGCAAATCCTGTGTCACAAACCTTCTGGAGTTTTATGACAAGGTAACAGAAGTAAGACACGAGAGAGAAGGGTGGGTCGATTGCATTTTCCTGGACTACAGGAAGGCCTTTGACACAGTTCTTCACAAGAGATTAGTGCAGAAGCTGGAGGATCAGGCACATATAACAGGGAGGGCACTGCAATGGATCAGGGAATACCTGACAGGGAGGCAACAATGAGTCATGGTACGAGAAGAGGTATCACAGTGGGTGCCTGTGACGAGCGGGGTCCCACAAGGGTCAGTTCTAGGACCAGTGCTATTTTTGATGTATGTGAATGACATGATGGAAGGGATAGACTCTGAAGTGTCCCTATTCGCAGATGATATGAAGTTGATGAGAAGAATTAAATCGGATGAGGATGAAGCAGGACTGCAAAGAGACCTGGACAGGCTGGACACGTGGTCCAGAAACTGGCTTCTCGAATTCAACCCTGCCAAATGCAGTCATGAAGATTGGGGAAGGGCAAAGAAGACTGCAGACAGAGTATAGGCTAGGTGGACAAAGACTACAGACCTCACTCAGGGAGAAAGATCTTGGGGTGACCATAACACCGAGCACGTCACAGGAGGCACACATCAACCAGATAACTGCTGCAGCTTACGGGCGCTTGGCAAACCTGAGAATAGCGTTCCGATACCTTAATAAGGAATCGTTCAAGCCACTGTACACTGTGTACGTTAGGTCCATACTGGAGTACGCAGCACCAGTCTGGAAGCCACAAGGGGTCACAATTGGAAGCTGAAGACTCAGATGAGTCACAGGGATGTTAGGAAGCATTTCTTTAGTCATAGAGTCGTCACGAAGTGGAATAGCCTAGCAAGTGAAGTAGTGGAGGCAGGAACCATACATAGTTTTAAGAGGTATGACAAAGCTCAGGAAGCAGAGAGAGAGAGAGGACCTAGTAGCGATCAGTGAAGAGGCGGGGCCAGGAGCTGAGTCTCGACCCCTGCAACCACAATTAGGTGAGTACACACACACACACACACACACACACACACACTGTGCCTTCACTACATATTAATCACTCTACATTCCGCAGCATAAAATTACGTATACAAATTTATTAGTGCCTATTTATATAATTATACACAACGTAGGTCCAAGATTAGTTTTATATAATCGTCTTATTATAATAGTTGTTATGTTATTTAATGTTATCCTCCCCCCAAGCATCGAACATTCTGAATAATCAAATAATTACATTTACTAAAGGAAATGTCAACGTTTCCTCTCCCCTTCTGGATGCTGTTCCCAGGATACATTATTACGTAGAGTAACAATGAGGTTAATCACCAGTAGGGGTGTAGCTTGTGTGAATAATATTAATTAATAATTTTTATTATCACTTTCATATTTCTGTTCGTTTAGATTTACACCGCTTCTTTATAATGATGATAATAATAGCAATAATAATAATAATAATAATAATAATAATAATAATAATAATAATAATAATAATAATAATAATAATAATAATAATATAATAATAATAATAATAATAATAATAATAATAATAATAATAATAATAATAATAATAATGATATTATATATTATTATTATTATTATTATTATTATTATTATTATTATTATTATTAGTAGTAGTAGTAGTAGTAGTAGTAGTAGTAGTAGTAGTAGTAGTAGTAGTAGTAGTAAATAACAAAAAAGGCACAATACCATGACTGGAACGATACACAAATAACCCGCACATAAAAGAGAGAAGCTTACGACGACGTTTCGGTCCGACTTGGACCATTGACAAAGTCACACAGTGTGACTTTGTCAATGGTCCAAGTCGGACCGAAACGTCGTCGTAAGCTTCTCTCTTTTATGTGCGGGTTATTTGTGTATAGTAGTAGTAGTAGTAGTAGTAGTAGCAGTAGTAGTAGTAGTATCACAGACGTGAGTGATCGTGGTCCCAGGACCACACTATTTCCAATTAACATGTCCTAAGTGCTTGCATTCTGTATCCTTTACCTTCTTGTCAACGAAAAGTTTTAGGCCAGCTAGTAGAAACGTTATCAAGTTACTGCTTTATAATCATGGAGAAGACAAAAACAAGATGAGATTGGGTTTATGCCTGACTCTATAATAATGCAATATGGAAAACATAATATCACTGATTCGCTATATTTCGCGACAATTAAGTGCTACGCTAGATATCTGTAATTTCAGTTTTCATTTCAGCTATATCCTATTTTCATTATTCTATATTTGTGTAAGAAATTTTTGTAGATTCTCGTTTACATAAACTGGCATTGGGATGTGTCCCAGGAAATATACCTTGTTGGGGAGTCTTGTTAGGCGGCTAGCATGGACCAGTGGTTGTGTACACTGGCTTGCCACATTAAGGACTCGCCTGGCTTGGGTTAGGGCCCTACCCTTTCTTTACCTTGTTTGCAATCGTGTTATTTCGATTTTTTGAGCCATGTAGGTTTTCTAATCTCCTTTATTCGTCTGCAAATAATTTTCATTTGAGCTAGAATTTTGATAACAACTCACTCATTCCGTATTGGAGATAAGAATCAGCCAATATGAACGAGCATAATAATACTTGTCGTCTTGAAACATATTTCTCTCTGTTAGATCTGGGGCAGAGAAAATACGAACGTACACCTAGTTGTCTCCGGAGGTACCCATCCACTCTCCCCTAGGAATATATCCACAGCCACCCTACCTACCTGGGGAGTGTTCCCAGAGTCAGTTTGATCCCTGACTAAGCCACCCTGTGGATCAGTGCCTAATCAACCAGGCTGTTACTGCTGGCCGCGGGCAGTCAAACGTATAAACCGCAACCAGGCTGTTCAGGAAGTGACTTTAGAAACCTGTCCGATTTCCTCTTGAAGAGGGCTATGGGTCTTTGGTAATCCTCCTTATGTACGAAGGAAGCTGTTGAATAGTCTTGGATCCCTTACACTCATTATGCAGTCTCTCAATGTACGTATGATACCCTTGCTTTTCAATAGGAGTCCTAATCATTTGTTTTCGTTTGGAAAAATGACATGATATTTAACGAGGTTTTTTTTCCTGTTAGTAAATTGGAGTTCATTAGATTACTTGATCATTTACGAACTCCATCATTATAAGGTTTAGCAACTGTATTAAAAATGATTGTTGTTTAGTCATTGAGAAGCAAGCACATTCATCATTGAAATCACAATTCAGTGTCGTTTACACGTCCAACGAATTCAGAAATAAAACCAAATAAATTTTGAGTTTTATGAAGCTGAATGACGTAGCTAGCCTACGTGAATTAAAACGAAGATTTTGTTAGGATTTTTAACCCGGAGGGGTAGTAACACAGGAAAATCCAGTAAAGCTAAACTCGCTGGAACCCCTTTTACCTTGACGCTGGATCATCTTATCACGGTGATGGTGTATGAGGTGAGGGCCGAGGGGGCAGATCTCTTCTCTGGAAGGGTTGCCACTCTCACAGAGAAGAGCTTGCCTGATTATGAAGAATCTCAGCATTAATAGTGAGGCTGTTTCCCCTATCGTCGAAATTTTCTCACGCTTCTGGCAGAAGATATTGAACGTTTTATTGACCCGGATTGTCGAAAGAGGAAAAGTGGAATTTGAATAGTCTTTGTTTTTTACGTTGGGATCATGATTCATGTAATGTGAGTGCAATTGGTCACGGCACCTTTGATGTACCTTTGAAGAGTTTCGAGAGTTTATCTATTCTCTGAGCCAGACCATGGGCCAAGCTCGTCTGGTCAACCAGGCTGTTGCTGCTGGAGGCCCGCTGCCCCACATATTCATCATAGCCTGGTTGATCTGACCCAGTAGCAAAGCTGGTGTTGATACTCTGGCACCCCATGTTATCGTACATCTAGCAACGCAAACATTATCATATATCTGGCAACCAATCTGCTATCATACATCTGGCAGCCCCCCAAACATTATTACACATCTGGCAACCAATCCATTATCATACATCTATTGCATTATATCAGAAACGGAATGTTTTTAAAGCGCTGAATGTCCAAAAAGGTCTTGTGCTTTGTTAATACAATTTGAAGTATAACAACCATTAAAGACCTTAATACACTTAGGTACCCTCTTACTGCTAGGTGAACAGGTACAGCAGGTCAAGGGAAATATCCCTAATGTTTCCTATCGTCAGGGGACCGAAGCTTGACGCTCCAGTGTGTTAGCTGAGGCAGTAACCAGGTAAGCCACAAGCACCTCTGAAACTGCAGTTTCAGCAGTGACACCATTGGTAGAGTTCAGCTTTGAAGCAAATTAAAACTTTCTCTTGACTTTCTGAAGGTCAAAAAAATCGCAGATCTTCTCCATCCTATCAACTGAAAAGGAATTTTTGTAAAATATTTAGAGAAAACCAAAATTTAACAGAAAACTTATTGATCATTTGCTCAAAAATCAAGTGGGATTCCACTGAACTATGAATCAGTAAAAAAAATGAAGTACTAATTATTATTCATACCTCGGCTTTATCGAAATGCTTAAAGTTTCCTTTGCTTATCCTAGCAATTTATCCTTCGCATTCCACTATATATATATATATATATATATATATATATATATATATATATATATATATATATATATATATATATATATATATATACATATATATATACATATATATATAATATATATATATATATATATATATATATATATATATAATATATATATATATATATATATATATATATATATATATATGTTTGTGTGTGTGTGTGTATGTATGTTTGTGCGTATGTATTTATTAAAGATATATAACATATATTTTTATTATACAGATATATCTATATTCTATTTTGTGTGACAGAAGGAAATAAAATTTTATCTATCCAGGGTCAGCATTTTTTTCTTTGATGTTACCATAACACTTGAAAAATTAAGAGGCTAGAATGTTATACAAAATAATATTATGTCGTAAATTTTATATTCAATAAACCCCAAAAAATGCAGCAGAAGCAAAATCCTAATGACATTAATATTACATAGATAGAATATAACAGAAAGTTCAAAGTCAATTCGTACTCTATTCGTGACAGAGAATAAAAATATTACATAATATGAAAATAAAACATACGGCATATTTGGCAGTCTCATAGAATATGATTACTGGTTGTAACAGACGGGTCCTGCAGTAGTGAGTTGTCAGAATGTCACTCACAGACAGTGAGGAGTCTCTCCGCCTCACCTCTCGTGAGTGACACGCCAAGGTGACACCTCTTTATTACACGCCAATAATAAATTAGTCGAATATACGACTTGCAGGATGTTATTATCCAGGATTTCGAGGCATCAGAAAGCAGTAACTTACAATTCTTTCGCTGATCTTAGGAATAAGGTGGAAAATTTATTACAATGTTCGTAAGCTTGGAGCTTCGCGCGAGGTCACAACTCTTTATAGATAAAGTAATTATTAACGGCAACACAACATATTTTTATATTTTTCTCGTCATTCAAGAATGTCTATTACTGTTTCCATGAAACATAAACTAACCTTATTTATATCCTACATATTCTTATTTTTTGAATGCCAAAACATTCTTCACAAGGGAGAGACTAGCTGCTACTGTCAATGCTGCATAAACCTTAAGTATATTTTCGGAGCGGCTGGCGCAGAACAGCCTTGACACGAACTACGGGCTGCTGGGAGGGCCAACACACCAGAAATTTGGATGGCGAATGTACGCTGACTGTGAGATTTCTGCTTGCCTGTTCGAGTTCGGTGACCCGAGACGGCACCAGCGCCAGGTATATAGTGGCACTCTCACTTTCTCTAACACCAGTCGCTCACCACCCGTCAAACGCAGCCATGAGGAGCCTGGTGAGTACAACACCAACACATACAAACAAATCTCTGTGATTAAATATCAAAGATTTCATAGTCAATAATATCATTTGATTACTTAAGGAGTACTTAAATAATAAGTTTTCACAAACAGTTCTTAAGTTTGTTTTGCTTCTTGTTTTAGTCTGAAACTGAAGAAAGTAACTATATCTAAATTGGTATATACAGAAATGAGACAAATTTCAGATCATAGGAAAAGTCTTTTATATAACATGTGTCTACATGTGGTATGCATTTACATGCGGCAAGATTTTACATATGGTTAGTCGGTCAAAATAGCAAAAATGCTTCTATATTGGTGCATGAACTTTCGTAAATACTCAAAAAAATAATATATTCTTTAAAACACCATTCACTTAGAACATCAGTAAATGTAGAAGTCTAAAAAAATATCTTTACCGACATAGACTCGCTCCTACGTACTCATGCTATTACTCACAATAACTTGCACTCATATACGCTCACTCCTACTCACACACACTCACCCTACTTATATAAATGCACTTTCACTCACACACACCGTTACAAACATGCACTTATCATTAATCACATTATTTCATCCACTAACCATTTCTCACATACTAAACTAATAAATTCACTCCTAATATATAATCCTAATCACGTACACTAATTCACGTTCACTCATCCAAATTCTCGTTCACCCAAGATTAACTGTATATACCCACTACTACTCACGAGTGCTCCTCTTAACATGTATTCCTACCCAAACTTTCTCTCTACTTGGTGTTATTAAGCATCTTCTACATATACTCATGTAGACTTGCATGCACTGGAAGCGCACAGCTACGTAAGGATACGTATGGATTGGCACACTTTGAACACGCTCATGTACACACACTTACACGTACACACGCAACGCGTGTCATGCCAATCAGGTGTAGGGGTGAGAGGGCGTTGACATGAAGCGCTTGTAACACACTCTGTGAAAGACAAGCCAGAAGGTCATGTGCTATTGGCATTCTCCCCTTTCAAAACCTGTCACATCTTACATTATAATATCGAGCCTTCCAAGATGTTGTCATAGATTACAAGATATGACAACTTCAGTCCACTACAGCTTGAGAAAATGTCTAAATATGCTGTATCTTCACCCCATAAACAATGTACACACTCGGAAATAGTACCGTTGTTGTTAAATTTTGTTAATTTGCGACTAACAAAGGAACATGAGGATAGCACTTTATTTTTTTTTTTTCAGGTAAAGACATTTGAAAATGTATTTTTCTAAGAAAAATAGCTTGAATGATACTTCAAATAACAGAGATCTAAAAATGCGCGATAATAGTTAAAAAGAGAAATAATAAAAATAAAATTATAGTAACAACAATGAAACGGGAAAAAACATGATAGGGACACAGCAGAAAGGTTTTCATTGGGACCACGTTTCGCTCATGATAATGTGAAACATTATTCCACAAACTTGAGAACTCTTTTTCAAGAGCTTAAGATTTTCTTTTGCAGTTAAAAAAAATGAAAAAAAAAAAAAAACTTTCCTTTACAGGAATAAATTTTTCCCAGTGAAGTCTTGTTGCCTTTCTCTCTTGAATCCCGTCGCCAGTAATCCATAACACAAACATTTATCCCCTTTATCCACGATGTCCTCCCCAGGTTGTCTTACTCCTGGCTGTTGCTGCGGCTTCCCAAGACCAGACGCAGAGCTCGCCAGAGGAAACCCAGCATCAGAAGAGAGAAGCCAAGCCTTCCCCGGGTGGTCACGGCGGTGTACACATAGTCGACCACGTCGTCACCCATGGACACGTCGGTGACCACGGGCACGGGCACTCCATTGGTCACGGCCTTGGCCACGTCCTCTCTGGTCATGGCTTAGGATATGGACACGGCATTGGTCACGGAATTAGTGTTGGACACGGTATTGGTCACGGAATTGGTGTTGGACACGGTATTGGTCACGGAATTGGTGTTGGACACGGTATTGGTCACGGAATTGGTGTTGGACACGGCATTGGTCATGGAGCAGGCTACGGCCATGGCCATGGAGGCCATAAATACGTCTCGGAATATGGCTTCACCGCTGGACATGGCCTTCATGGACACGGTCATGGACATGGTCTTTATGGATACGGTCATGGCGGTGGATTCGGTCATGGCGGTGGATTCGGTCTTGGTGGTGGATACGGTCATGGTGGTGGATACGGTCATGGCGGTGGATTCGGTCATGGCGGTGGATTCGGTCATGGCGGTGGATTCGGTCACGGACATGGACATGGACATGGGCACGGGCTAGGACACATCGTGGGATATAGCGTGTCCTACGAACCATACGGCGCCAACTCCTACCTACCCGTCCACGGAATCGTGAAACGCGAGGCCGGAGCTGAGGCGAATCCAGCACCAGTTCCCGAAGCCAAAGCCACACCCAAATCGCAGTTCGGCTACGGACACGGAGATGGACATGGTCATGGAATTCTCGTTGGACACGGTATAGGTGTTGGACACGGCGTAGGTCATTCAGTAGGACACGGTGTAGGCCATGGAGTTGGACACGGTGTGGGCCATGTCGTAGATAAAGGTGTAGGTAAAGCAGTAGGCCATGCAGTGAGTCATGCAGTGGGCAAGGCAGTAGGCCATGGCGTGGGTCATGGGGTAGGTCATGCAGTAGGCCATGGGGTGGGGCATGCAGTAGTAGGTCATGACGTGGGCCATGGTGTGGGTCACGTAGTTGGCCATGGCATAGGTCATGGGGGAGGTCATGCAGTAGGCCATGGAGTGGGTCATGTTGTAGGCCATGGCGTGGGTCATGCAATAGGTCATGGTGTAGGGGATTACGGTCATCATGGTGCCATTCACGATATTGGCCTTGGGGTTGCTCACGGCTATGGCCATCATGGTGTGGGTCTGGGAATTGGTCATGCAGGGGGTCACGGTGTGGGTCATCTAGTAGGCCACGGTTTGAGCCATGTTGCAGGATATGGTCATGGTGTGGGTCTTGGCCACGGTCACCATGGTCTGGGCCACAGTGTGGGTCAAGTTGTGAGTCATGGTGTGGGTTATGGCCATGGTCACCATGGTGTGGGTCATGTAGTGGGTCACGGTGTGGGTCATGGCCTCGGCCACCATGGCACGGGTTATGTAGGAGGTCATGGTGTGGGTCACGGTCATGGCGTGGGTCACGTAGGGGGTCATGGCGTGGGTCACGGTCATGGCGTGAGTCATGGTGTAGGTCATGGTCATGGCGTGGGTCATGTAGGGGGTCATGGCGTGGGTCACGATGGTAAACACGATGCTCCCGTTGTGGACCACAGTATACACATCTTTGCCGAGGAGGAGAAGCATGGCGCTGCTCATGATTCTCACAAGTTAGGCCATGGCTAAGCCATGGAATTGGCCACGGGATAGGCCATGGGCTAGGTCACGGACTAAGCCATGGGATAGGTCAAAGCTACTACTATAACCCGTATGCATACAGCCCATATACGTCTGGTTATCACAGATAGACGTCTACTCTGACGTCGTGTGATAGCGCTACATGCAGCGTTCTCAAAGCGACGAATTCTGATATGATGTTCCCTTTGTATATAACTAATATATAATATAACATTTATGCAAGAACATTTGACTGTTTTACTTTTCCCTGCTGGGCACCTCATTCGTGCCATGAGGAAGGTTACTAGTGTTAGAGAATCTGTTTCCAATGTGCATCATCCGGACAAATTCGGTGATGCTCACCACATACCTGAGTCATCCCTCTCATTCAAGAACTACTGGTTTGTATGTATGTCTTAAGGTTTTGGGAGAAAAATGCATTTAGAGAGGGAGATCTGTAGCTAGAAACTAAGTCATTAATTTTTGCAAAATGTAAGTTCCTAATCAGTCCTTATTATTTTCCTGAAGTCCTTAATTCCCAAGGCATGAAAAGGGCGATCAACGTAGTTTTTGTCTCATCGCAACACCACACTTGTGTCCACTTGATAGTAGTAATAAAGAAATTACGCTGTAACCATTTTGGAGGAAAGTCATAAGGGAAAATGGCTTTCACTACATTGGTGACAGGAGTGGAATAATTTTTATCTCGATCCAGCGTGACACTAATGTTAAATTCATAGAAGTTTGTTCCAAAAATTTCCTTTGTTTCGCAACATTTTTTTTTAATTAAATACGCATCTAAATTTAGTAGCATTTTACTTAAATAACTCAACCCCTCAGAAGAGGATCAAGTGTTTATCAGCATCCTTTAGAGACCATAGAGCAGCGGTTCCCAACCTGTGGTCCGCGGACCCCTTGGGGTCCACAAAGGTAGTACTGAGGATTCGTGAGCTAAGTTCAAAATTTTTAGAGGCTGCGGTGTAAAATGTATAATTACTCACGATAAACAGATAAAGATAAACTTTTAAAACTTCAAAGCCGTTTCCAGGAATTGTCTATTGTTTTAGATTTTTTTTTTTAGAGTGATGGCCTTATTTTATGGACTGCCGAATCTAGCCTGCGAATCTTCCATCGAACAATGGTCAAGTTTTATTCCCTGCAATTTATCAGACTTTTGGATGCATGTGAAAACTGAGTACCTAGAACCGGCATCATAAGCAATGAGATATTTAAGGCCATTCCCTACTACGTACTTATGTGAGCAGGTTGTCCCCTAGTTGGTTAATATAAAATCAAAATACGGAAACGGGATGAATGTGGAACCTGATCTACACTTAAAACTGTCCAGTAATTGAATCTGAAATTCGGAACATAGTGTCAACAAAGCATCAACCATCTCATTAAACAAGTAAGCTTTCTAACACTGCCATATATTTAACTGCATACTCAGTTACGTATGTCTTACAAGTGAGAGATGAAACTGAAAAAACGGTTTGTTATTAGTTAATAGAATCGGTTTGTTGAGGAGACAGACCTTTCAAAATCCTGGGGTCCAATGGAAAATTAATTTAAATAAAAGGGGTTTTTGGTGGTGAAAAGGTTGGGAACCACTGATCTAGAGGTTCTACTCAATTTAACCAAGGAACATAGCACATGCATTTTAATATTTTTAAAACACACCGTCGCTGTAGAGGTATCTTGTTTCAGAACTCATTATTGTAGCCATTTGGTCTAGTGGTGAGAGCAGGTGGTTCCCATTTTACTTGCTCCAAGTGGCATTTTTCATTAGCAGGCTCTCCGCCGCGGAGTCCTTACTGAAAACCATCTGTATGTTGAGAGCTTTAATTACCCTCGCAGTCTTTGCAGCATAGACTCATCATATTCTTCCGAACTTGTGCGGTAATGCTCAGTTTACCTGTTCGGATCCTCTTTTCGACAATGGTCTTACAATATCTTGAATTGGCAGCAAAATGAGTCTTTGTGTAGCCATCCAAAAATCTCTGGGTAATGTTTTTTTAATATTTAATTCCTAGCGATAACATCTGCTTTTAATGATGTATTTTTACGTGTTGATGAGACGACAGGCAATGTTAGGTTTTGCTATAAACTTCGTTTACTATGAATAAACTTAAAAGTGAAAGACACACAGCTCATAATATAATCGTTTTATATTCTAAATCTTGAGTTTTTATGTTTCTGTGCACCATTGCCAATGTCATTTGCATATACATTAAACATCGGCTCATGTGAATTGTTTTTGCATCTTTTACCTTCATTTCAGAAACCTTTTATGCATAACATTGCCAAAATCATTCTTTTAGATGTACGTAAACAACCCATCATACTAATACCTATGTCACTTTTCTCCATAGGGTTTGCAGCATAGTTTTAAGATACATTAGGTTAGGTTAAGCTAGGCTACAATAGAAAAAAAAAGACGATAAAAACGTCTCTGGCGTTAACAGAAAAAGGCCATCCAATGTTCGCGGCTGATGTAAGACAGTAATGTTTCAGCTGCTCAAGGCGTTGTGAACAGCCACCCATTTGACTGTCTCTACAAAAGTGCCATGATACTTGTAGTTCAGTGGACGAGCTGTCGTACGACACCCACGCTCATACAATTCAAATTCAAACTTATGTTCTTTTTCTTTTTAGTAATTACCATTCCATTGATGATAATTACCATTCCTCGGAGATCTGTTGCTGCATGGAGAGGATTCTTACTCACTTTGTAAGGGAAATATGGAAGAAAAAAATTAAGAAATATGCACTAAAATAAAGAATTATTCTTTTTATGCATGTTAAAAGTTAAAAGATTTACCTGCCATCTAAAATATTCACGAAACAGGAAAAATTAAACTGGCATTCCTGTCAAAGTGTAAAACGTTCAAAGGTTTTTGCTGTCACTTTATTAGTTAACATATTCTTCTTCATAGGCATCAAACTTTGTATTTCACGAAAATTAAATATCTTTTATATACCGTAGGTCTCAGCATGAATTTTTATTTGTGAAAAAAAATAAAGATTTAAGTTATAAAAAAGTCCCGAGGCTTCCGGAGAAGGTCTTGACACTAATGTAGAATCGTAAAAAAATACGAGGATATTTAAGACAATTAGCTTCTGGAGGCGAAAGGGGATGGGGAAGAATATTTAAGAAGCTTAAACGAGCAGCAGCACCCTGAGGAAGAGTTAAGCTGGAATGTGGCTCCTGGGACATTTAAAGGTTAAAGATTCGGTTCCTCAAGTAGCAAAGTGCTCCAGCCTATGACATGAAGAAGAAGCAACACCGGCATCAACGACAATCAGGCATCACCTGGGCTTATGAAAGGTAATAATTGTAGTTCCTAGATTTCAGTGCTTGTCCCTGCCGTTACTCTTGTGGTCGATTACTCTGAGTGTTACTGCCACTAAACGGCCCAGGGAATGTGATTACCAGTGTAGATTCCTCTCTTGATGACTATTATGGCGTCCTTCACCATCTGGAAAATGCCTACACTTCCTTCTCTCCACCCGAGCAAGTACTTCACTGTTGGGACAAATCTCACGTCTGAGTCTGAATATTCTTGTCTTGAGTTGCATGAAACAGTGTTTCAAAAGAAAAAAAAAATAATTTAATAGCAATTGTATCAGACTTTTTCCATACTTCGCTATATATTTAAGATATTCGTAACAAACACACATATGCATGCATTCTGAATATACTGTATATATATTTTTTTTATTTATCAACACACGGCCGATTCCCACCAAGGCAGGGTGGCCCCGAAAAAGAAAACTTTCATCATCATTCACTCCATCACTGTCTTGCCAGAGGGTGCTTCACACTACAGTTATAAAACTGCAACATTAACACCCCTCCTTCAGAATGTAGACACTGTACTTTACATCTCCAGGACTCAAGTCCGGCCTGCCGGTTTCCCTGAATCCCTTCATAAATGTTACTTTGCTGACACTCCAACAGCACATAAAGAATTAAAAACCATTTGTCTCCATTCACTCCTATCAAATACGCTCATGCACGCTTGCTGGAAGTCCAAGCCCCTCGCACACAAAAACCTCCTTTACTTCCTCCCTCCAACCCTTCCCAGGCCGACCCCTGCCCTGCCTTCCCTCCACTACAGATTTATACCCTCTCGAAGTCATTCTGTTTTGTTCAATTCTCTCTACATGTCCGAACCACCTCAACAACCCCTCCTCAACCCTCTGGATAATAGTTTTGGTAATCCCACACCTTCTCCTAATTTCCAAACTACGAATTCTCTGCATTATATTCACAACACACATTGCCCACAGACATGACATCTCCACTACCTCCAGCCTTCTCCTCGTTGCAACATTCGTCACCCATGTTTCACACCCATACAAGAGTGTTGGTACAACCTATACTCTCATACATTCCCCTTTTTGCTTCCACGGACAAAGTTCTTTGTCTCCACAGACTCCTAAGTGCACCACTCACCCTTTTTCCCTCACCAACTCTGTGATTCACCTCATCTTTCATAGACCCATCCGCTGACACGTCCACTCCTAAATATCTGAATACATTCACCCTCCATACTCTCTCCCTCCAATCTGATATCCAGTCCTTTCGTCACCTAATCATTTTGTTATCTTCATAACCTTACTCTTTCCTATATTCACTTTTAATTTTCTTCTTTTACATACCCTACCAAATTCATCCACCAACCTCTTCAACTTCTCTTCAGAATCTCCCAAAAGCACCGTGTCATCAGCAAAGAGAAACTGTGACAACTCCCACTTTGTGTGATTCTTTATCTTCTAACTCCACACCTCTTGCCAAGACCCTAGCATTCACTTCTCTTACAACCCCATTTATAAATATATTTAACAACCACGGGGACATCACACATCCTTGTCTAAGGTCTACTTTTCACTGGGAAATAATCTCCCTCTCTCCTACTTGCTCTAACCTGAGCCTCACTATCCTCGTAAAAACTCTTCACTGCTATCAGTAACCTACCTCCTATAGCATACACCTGCAACATCTGCCACATTGCCCCCATATCCACCCTGTCATATGCCTTTTTTAAAATCCATAAATGCCACAAAAACCTCTTTACCCTTATCTAAATACTGTTCACCTAAATGTTTCACTGTAAACACTTGGTCTACACACCCCCTACCTTTCCTAAAGCGTCCTTGTTCATCTGCTATCCTACTCTCTGTCTTACTCTTAA